AAAGGGTAATGACAGAAGAATACAGAAGTTCACAGTCAAAGCAGTTCTGATGGAAACCAATACAAATGGATTAAGCTGCCAAGTACAGGCCACAAAGAAACAGATCAAAGAAGAGTCAGCAAGACATTTTATTAGTCAGTCCTTGAACCGGACAGCGCTTGTCAGACTGACATCAGTTAAGCCTAGGAAAGGAATACTCCAGAGAAGTTCATTATAATGCCCCTTAACGTTGCCTTGGCGCATATAAAATACTGTTTTCTGAAGGAGCCGGAGCAGCCTGCTGCTCCCCGATCAGGACTGCTTAGCCTGACAGGCTGAAAGAACAAACTGAATTTTAAGTGAGCTTTAGAGCAAGCCCCAAGTTTGTACCTTGAAGATAACAGCAGATGAAAACCTGCCCCACCGACCGGAAGGGACACTGATGGGTCAGTGGCACCTGCAAATGTAACCAAATGGTTTCTGTGCTTTCAGGTCGCTGGTGCAGCTCCTGAAGTTCGTGGCCCCAGGTGCAAATCTGTCGGCCACTTGCGAGGTCAGGTCTCTGCCCACTGCAGCAACGCTAACAACACGGCACAGCTGGTTGCTTCTGTCAGCCTGTGAATTCTACCCAGACACATCCTGAGTTATGGATAACCTACCCATGCAGTTATTAGTGAATCTGATGTTTCAACATCGAAATGAAATATAGTTTATTTTTGCTGTTATATTCTGATGCAAAACAACAAGCTTTGGGCCTGAATACACTACCACGTATTCCATACCGAGTGTTTTCCTGGTTTACATCAGTATAAACTGTGATCCGTCAGGGTATTTTTATGCTTTCACCTCTGAATAATACAACATCATCAGTTCCCTCCGTTTTTTTATTTTTTTTACCATTTTTATATAAAAAGAGTTGTTTCCAGCAACTTCAAGTACTGCAGATACTGCAACTGTGCAGTACTGTACTACGCAACTTTGCAAAACGCAAGGTTATATAAAGGCAAATTAAAAAAAAAAAAAAGTATTTTAAAACTACACATATCATGTGCACCATACAGGTCATAATCCAAAAAACATTTTGATCCAAGTAAAATATTTTTTAAAACATTTACTACAGAACTGAAAAGAATTATTTATGGATGGCTGTATCCTAATTTCTAGCTTTAGAAAACCACAGCTAAGCAAATCATTCATGCAGAGTTAAATCACTGCCTGCCTTCCTCTCCTCCCACCGCACTCGCAAGAGGAAAGCAAACCTGGCTGCTTGATGAATTAATTTGGCCTAATGTAATTTGATCTCTGCAGATTTCAACAGTAATATCAGCGTCTTTCATTCTTCTTTTGGATTTTAGCTTTTAATAGCCTAGGGAAGGAACTTCTCCCTGTATTAGTTACACAAAATCCACGTCTCATTTGTGTTCCACGTACCCACAACCACGCGTGGCTTTCGGCTGAGGCCACGGCCGCGGGTTTGGTGCCTGCCCAAATGTTTTCTGCAGGTACGCAAGGAGCGCAGGGCCTGGCACACCGCAGTATCAGTAGAGCTTTTTGTGCTACACAAGAGAAAAATATCTGCAGGAGAACAGTCTTGATAAAACCAACCCATTTCTTAAAAGCCTTAAGTAATATTTTCTGTTTCAACTGAAACTGAAGTGGTCTTGAAAAGTACAAAGTTGGAGTTCAGACCTATATATTACCTGGTTAGACATTTAGTTAAACAAGACATAATAAAAACGTGCCATATACAAGATTGTCACAGGTATATGAGGTTTTTAGAAAAAAAAGCAATAAAAATATTCTATAAGCTGAAAATAAAATCTCTTACCTTTTATATCACGATCTCAGCTTACAGTCACTACATTTCTGCTTATTTTATACAAGTGCATATGGCTATGAAGGTCCGGAGAGAATGAGAATAAAGTGGTATTAACCTGCTGAAAACTGCTTAAAATTCTTAAGCTGCAACATATAGATGTTCCAATACCATTTAAAAAAAGCATTCACCTTTCAGTTATTGCTGATTCACAATCTCAAAATATCAACATACAAATATTTAAGAGGAAAAAAACTCAGTAGATTTAGAGCAGCAAAGTTTTTGAACTGGAGGTTTACCAAATACTGTGTTTTCCTATCATTTGGTAATGATTTTAAGAGACACAAAAGCAATCAAGGTCAGGCCTACCCTTTTTGTGCCTCATATTAGTGATGTGGGGAAGAGACAGAGAGAGAGAGAAAATATGTCATTTCATTAGATTTTAGAAAAAATATAATATTCTAATTTTTTCTTCTGCCTTTTTGCTACATTTCATGTCTGCTGACATGCACAATGGTACAAGCACGACCACTTCCGGAGTGACCATTGCAAACCTCTGTAGCAATTTTTATAGGAAACATGCAAATACAGTCATAGTATTAAAATTCTGAAACAGGGAAAGTAACCCCAGGCTTCACTGCTTGAAGCAGGCCCTCTGCTAGGTTTTGGTTCTTGTTTTGGCGTTTGGGTCCCCGCCCCCCCCAACACACCAGGCTTTCCCTGCTAGTGTAAAGAAACAGCCAGAAGTATATACACATCTATTGCTGTGTACCCAAAGAAAGGACTGTGGCTTTGTGCAAGTATTGCTTTTCATTAGATGGAACAAAGTTCAAGAAGTGAGGAAAAACACTTTAAAAAAAAAGGAAAAAAGCTCAGATTCCATGTCTGAAGTTGAGAAACCTCAAAACGAGCCACGTTTGTTCTTGCTTTTAAGACATGTACAAAATGCCATTTCGAGCCACACAACCTGATGGTTCTAGAAGTCAGAGAAGAAATCTTGAGGGCCCAAGTGAATAATAAAAGGTGCGATGCTGAGAGGCTGGCAATAGGGACTGTCAATGAAAAAACCACCTACAGTGGGAGAAGAGCAGAGAAGCAAAAACCTCACGTTAATTTCAGAGAGACTGGCTGAAGCTAAAGCTCCATTTAAATTTCTCTGCTCTTTCAGCTGCAAGTGGAATTTTCATTGTAAAACGGGCACTTGAAATTCTTTGAAGGTATTGAAACATCTAACACTTCCAGGGTTACCACTTTCTAAACAAAGAACTGACAGCTCATTCATATTTTCAGTAAAGCAGAGAAATGTAAAATATGCAGCAAGGGGGGGCAAGTTTACAATGTGGTTAGTAACTCCCAACAAATGACAAAAAATAAAAAATGACTTCTATAAATCATCTGAAATGACTGCCATCATGTTGGAAAAGAGCATAGCGCCCTCCTTGTTTTTGAAATAAGAACAAGTTATTTGGCTTATGAATGTTGATCGTATAGAATTGGTTCAGAGAAGATTTAGTTTGAAATTTTACAAAGCTGAGGATTCAAAAAAAAAAAAGAAAGAAAGAAAATACGAACAGTTGCCAATCAGGGGAACTCCAAAAGGGGAGGAAAAAAATGTGCAGAGGAAAGAGTCCTTTAATGAATATTTGATTAACAAAAACGGGCTCTTATCAGCCATGCTTTTTCTGCTCCGTGATGGCTTCCTTTCATCCATAGGCCAGCAAAACGTGTCACTGATTTACGAGCACCACTCAATTTGACTACGTCCCCGAGACCCTGCTCTTCATTTCAGCACTACCGCGTGGATGACAACAGCAGGCTCACCACTACTGGTCAGTAGATGGACGTTTTTTATTAAAGTACCACCAACACCAAACAAAAGTGAGAGCTACGGCAGAAGAAGACCCATTAATGACGTAAACAACATTCCTAAGCACAAGTACTTCGCTTAAGAATAACAGCTGCGGTTTATGCCAAGAAAAGCAGCTTCTTATACAAGCCGCCCCTTATTAGGCTTTTCGAGCATTTCTTTCCCT